TACGTACTTGTCCAGCCTCCTAGGGGAACTAAAGGTTAACCGTTGGGATTATGTAGGGGTTAAAGCACCCCGAAGAGGTGAAAGGATGTAAAAGGTTACCTGCTACTAAGGACCAGTCATGCTCGCAACGTGCCAAACATCCGCGAACCTGAAAGCCAGAACATCAAAAACCAAACTGGCCTTACAGATGCTGGACTTAGGCGTGTTAGGAAGGTGCTGTTCATCCTTTGGAACAAGCAGATGCCTTTTTGGGATGTAGGGTGTTGCATCGAGCTTCTGGTTAGGATTGCCGGGTTTAGGAGTCTAGAGAGTTTGGGAGACTTTCGGGTTCTGGGGCGTCGGGGTTTAGAGCTGAAGCTATAGGATGTCCGGCTCAGGCTACACGAAGCCTCAAAGCCCAATTCATGTCCCAACGCCTCTCAACCCCTAAACCCTAAGCCCTCAGCCCTAAACCCTGATGCCCTAAACCCTGACGCCCTAAACCCTAAACCCTAACCCATAAACCCGAAGCCCTAAACCCTGACGCCCAAACCTTCAGCCCTGAAGTCCAAGACCCGCAGCTTGGAGCCCCAAAAAGCCGCGCCTGGTCATTGCTGGCGTGAGCTTTCTGCAGCACTTTCGTTGAGATGAAGACCTCAACAAAGTCGAGGGTCCTACTTAAAGGATCATGGGACTTAGTAAGTAGGGTTATAATTGGGGTAACTATACTTATAACCGCAAATAAGGGACTTATAACCTTGCTTACTAAGTCCCATGATCCTCCAAGTACCCTGGAAGGCATCATAAGTCTCTAGCTTCGCTGCAGGCTTGCCTTGCCTCAATAGGGTTGAGGGTTTAGGGCTTTGGGGTTTAGGGTGCAGGTTTTAGGGGTCTAGGGGTTCAGGGTTTAGGGGCCAAGTACCTGACCATCCTAGCACTCTACCAAATGCTAACCAAGGGACTGAACTACCAGCCTAAACTCAAGTACGGCCTAAACCCTAAACCTAAACACAAGTACCTAAAACATGCCCTAAACCCTTACTAAACCCAAACCCAAGTACATAAGTATGCCCTTAACCCTAAACCTGAACAGTACCTGATCATGAGCTCCTTCGGACCCTTGCAACAAGCAGGCGAAGGCGCGTCAGATCGCGATAGGCCCGCAAGGCGAATTCCAGCCGCGATCTCTTTTTCAGTCCTTCTTTCAAGCGTTACAGCACAACAAATGGGCCTAAATGGTTCCAATGGGGTGCTGGGGTATAGTGTGGAATATTCATAAGAAGGAACCCTGACAAATATTGGTAGTTTTTGGAGTCTACAATCGGGGCTTTAATATTCCAGGCCCACGAGTCTTCCATGGTTCAGACGTCGGCATAAGATCACGAGAACCGGGCATCAGGCAAGGTATGCGTGTGAGGAAGGAAACCCTGTAAACCTTACACCCCAAGCCCCAAACCGTAAACCCCAAAGCCTAAACCAAAAAAGCCTCAGCCCTGAGCCCTAACCCTTAAGCCCTAAACCCTAAGCCCTAAACAGCTGCCTTACTCTGACTCGGGGGGTCCATAGTAAGGAGTTCACGAAGTTCAAAGGTTTGGACTCGTGGCTCATGCGGCTCATGCTTTTGAGCTTAGTCACAGACCCCTTAAGGAACCCCGAAGCCCCATAAAAGAAGGACCTTCATAATTAGAATAGGGTTTTGGGGCCCATTATACTGCAACTGTACTGCCTATGATATAGGGACCTTCATAATTAGAATAGGGTTTTGGGGCCCATGATACTGCAACTGCAATACTACCTATGATATAGGGACCTTCATAATTAGAATAGGGTTTTGGGGCCCATTATACTGCAACTGTACTACTACCTATGATATAGGGACCTTCATAATTAGAATAGGGTTTTGGGGCCCATTATACCGCAACTGTAATAAGGCACTCCCAAAACAGTATTGGTAATCATTGGTAGTCATTGGCCCCTACAGTAACCTATCGAACCGAGCCCCCAAACTAGTATAGGTAATGAGTAAGGCCCCGAATTATCTGAAGTGACTTGAACCGCAGAGCATCTTGCGCGAAAGAGAGTCCAAAAGTGGTAGCATAGGCAATCCGGTCACGTTGGCTGACAAAAGCCTCGATAAGAAACACCGTAGCTTCATGTAGCTTCGACTACCCTAGATCTAATCGCTGGCACTGTACTTCAGAGAAATCTCTCGATTCTGTTGCAAAGTCCTGTAGTAGAGCGCTGTATCGATGAGGCGGTAGCCTGGCATCCGGACACAGCTGCGTTAGGGGAAGGTTGAGGGTGTCCAGGGCTTTGTTAGGGCAGCTGGACCCTAAACCCTAAACCCTAAACACTAATGTTACAGGTTTCGATGACTGGATGCAGGTCGCAGGTGTAGGGTGGGGGGGTCTGGTTTGCGGCTCTGGTGTTTAGGACTTTTTAGTATAGGGCTTTATGGGTTTAGGATTCAGGGTATTTCGTTCGCAGCGTTGCAAGTTGCGAGGTGGCCTAGCACAAGGGTTGAGAATCCCAGAAACTCCCCGCAATTGAAATATGACATAATTTCGAGGCCTTCATAATTAGAATAGGGCTTTGGTTCCTTTATAGTCTAATTACAGTAAGGAACACCCAAAATAATATAGGTAATTTTTGAGGCCCCTATATTACCCCAAAACCCTATCTAATGATTTAAAGTCCGTATGCTTGGCTCGATCTCCGACCTGCACGCAGCGCCGTGGCGATGGCCTCGCGCCCCTCGCGCCCCTGTTAAGAGAGGTTTAGGGTTTAGGGTTTAAGGTTTTAGGTTTGGGGTTTAGGATTTAGGGCTTAAGGTTTAATTAGAGTTTAGGGTTTAGGAGTTGGTTGAAAACTGATAGAACCATAGTCTCTTTGCAGAAACTTACGATTGACAACTGAAGCCTGTTGTCTCCGTGTAAGCTTATATGCACAAGCATTCAACTACATGAATGCATACAGAACTATCGTGCTCGGACGTCGGCAGTAAAAGTGAGAGTCTGCCTGCCCCTCATGAGCGCTTATGGCTTCATTAGGTTCATCTGCTGTCTAGATTTAAGGCTTAGAGTGTTTTTGGCTTTGGGGGTTTAGCGGATTTCGCGATCCTTGAAAGTTTAAGGACGATGGCAGGCCCTTTTCCCAGCAGCCTCAAGCCTAAAGGGGCCAACGGCCAAATTCGTAAGTCTTACAACCCCACCCAAGCCCATATTATACAGCTTGGTTACACCGGGCTGACATGTGCTGAAATCGTGAGATATCAGATACTGGCAAGAAGGCGTGAAGCTCCGATTGCTCTCAACGCTAACTTCCAGCTGCCTGGCCCCCTGGCCCCCTCCACCTTCAGAGATCCATACCATTCCTGCAACCCCTAAACCCCTAAACCCGAGCCCTAAACTCCTAAACCCTGAACCCTAAACCCCTAAACCTTAAACGCTAAGCCCCTAAACAGTTTCATTCTATAGCTTGAAATGTAGGCCACCTCCCCGAAACGCAAAGCCGACTGCCTTTTCAAACCTGAGCCGCGCAGCCTCTGCCCAAATTCCAGGGTTTAGGGCTTAGGGTTTAGGGTTGAGGGCTTAGGGTTTGGGGCTAGGGTTCCGGGTTTAGGGCTTAGGGCTAAGGGTTTAGGGCTTTGGGTTTAGGGTTTCGGGCTTTGGGTTTAGGGCTTTGGATTTAGGGTTTGGGGTTTAGACTTGTAGCCAGAGCACGAAACCGAAGACTCCCATGGACAGAAATCAACGCTACAGTGACCCGCACAACAACAAAAAGAGAGAGAGAGAAGGTGGTGACCTCAGCTTCTACTACAGTACAAGTCCGCTGAACCCATATACACATACACACATAGATAAATACATAAATACAGATACAAACTAGTAAATAACTACATAACTATATACACATACATAATTTCATATATATATATATATATCTTTCCATGTATGTAGGTGTATATATATATATATATATATCTTTCCATGTTTTTGTTTATTTATTTATTTAGTTAGTTAGTTAGTTAGTTCGTTCGTTAGTTAGTTAGTTTTGTACACTTAGAAAGGTCTTGGCCGTTGGGGCTGTGCCTCCAGGCCCCCGCTGCCAAGGCCCAGCTGCGGCATGAGCCCGCCCCGTCGCAGTCGGATGCTGCAGCCTGTGGAGAACGAGGGTCCCCCTTTGGGGTTTTAGGGTTGTAGGGTTTAGGGCTTTATAGGGTTTAGGGTCCCCTTTTGGGGTTTTAGGGTTTAGGGGCTTTAGGGTTTAGGGTCCTTTAGGGCTTTGAGGGGTTTAGGGTATTGGGGTTTAGGGTCCCCTTTTGGGGCTTTGGGGCTTTGAGGGGTTTCGGGTATTAGGGTTTAGGGTCCCATTTTGAGGGGTTTTAGGGTTCAGGGTCCCCTTTTGGGGCTTTAGGGTTCAGGGTCGCCTTTTGGGGCGTTAGGGCCTTGAGGGGTTTAGGGCTTTAGGGTTGAGGGTCCCATTTTGAGGGTTTGAGGGCTTCGAGGGGTTTAGGGTATTAGGGTTTGGGGTCCCACTTTGGGGTTCTAGGGTTCAGGGCCCATTTTGAATGGTTTTAGGGTTCAGGGTCCCCTTTGAGGGCTTTAGGGTTCGGGGTCTCATTTTGAGGGGTTGTAGGGTTTAGGGTCCCATTCTGAGGGGTTTAGGGTATTAGGGTTTAGGGTCCCCTTTTGAAGGGTTTAGGGCTTAGGGTTTAGGGTCCCATTTTGGAGTTTTAGGGTTTAGGGGTTTAGGGCTTACGGTTTAGAGTCCCAGTTTGGGGTTTAGGATTTATAAGGGTTTACGGTGTAGGGTTTAGGGGTTTAGGGCTTCGGGTTTAGGGCAGCTGAGGGTCCCAGTTTGGGGTTTGGGGTTTAGGGCTTGAGGAACACAGTCAAACAGCCCGAATTGTAGGACAGAAGTGCAGCGATCTGCAGATCCGGATGAATGCCATAAAAACCTAGCACGGGTAACCTCAGAAGAATTGGATGAGCTACGTAGGGGCTTCTGGATACGTAATTGCACGAGCTAGACTACCTGTAGTCTTCATTGTAGTTCTTTTTTGTTGGTTTAACAAATAATATACTAAGGGTTTTATAAGGCATCCCCAAAAAGGAACTACAATGGAGACTATAGGTATGATGCACCCCCAAGACCGTGCTCTGATTGTCCAGGCCCCCATCGGGTTCCTCCAACGCTTCACTCCCCGGGAGCCGGTGCTGGGTATAGGGTCTAATGTAGGGGCTCTGATAGTTAGAATATAGGGTCTTGGGGTATGTTATACTATAATGAAAATAAGGAGCCCCCAAAAATAATGTAGGTAGTTGTTGAGGCCCCTATAAATTAGGCTGTCTAAGGTTCCAGTAGGAGGCCGATCTTTTGTTTGGGGAGATGCAGTGCAAGAATTACTTTGAACGATAAGAACTTGGCTGCTGAATTCCGAAAGCTTCAAAAAATTGACCGAAGGCACAGTGCATGAACTAACACAACTGGTGTTCCTCAAACCGTAGTAAGGATCCCTCGGCAATCTAACGGGTGTTACCCCATGTTCTAAACCTAAACTCCCTGCTATACCTTTTAGAGACCTCCTAAAACCGCACATAAAATCTTTACAGAACCCTTTGAGCCAAGATTGGTGCGGGCCTACTCCTGGCCGAGGCGCGCCCTCTAGGGCAAGAGGGCGAAAGTCCTCGCAACCACTGCTTCGTATCGGTTCGAGGCTGTAGGAAGCATTAGCAGGCGACACGATATGGGCCTTTAAGCACATATCTGATGTCACATATTTGGGTTGGCTGTCTGGGCAACCATTTTTTTGGCGGATTTCATTGCATGGCCCTGCAGGGTTGTCTCGCGGCTTTTCTGGCGAATTCTTCTCGCGGATTTTGCTTCCGTAGATTTTCTGAAGAGTCTATCTACTTGACGAAAGTATCCCCTCAAAAATCCGCGCGCAAATTAGTGTGCGCCGCCGGCCAACAAATCCGCGCGCCAAAACATGAACAAAATCTGCGCAAACCTTGCCCAGAAGGACAGTACCAACAATAGGCGTTTAAGACCAAACTCTCTTTTGGCTTAGGATCTCTGGTCAACCTTTGCTCCATCAGCTCTCGGATAGGGAGTCAAGGGTGAAAGTTTCGGGCCATCTTGTCCAAGCGTCGACGTGAAATTTACACAGGCTCGAGATCGTAGAGTCTTAAAGCTAGCTTGTACATGCTTTCTGTCATTTTCCCCATAGCTGCGCTAGATTGACTTTCCCTCCCTGTCTCTCTCTCTTCTACTGAGATTTCGCGTGCTCGTTTACAGGGCCAGGGAGGAAAGTCCGAGTTGGCGGAAGTCGTCTTTGTCATCTGTGGCACCGTCAAGGAACAAACACGCTGGTCGTGTCCTCTTCTTGAGCTGGAGCCTTCTCCGGCAAGGCGGGAGATTGCACCTGTGCACCTACGAAACTACCTGCGCAAGTGTTGAGATTGCTTCGATTCTGGACTCGCAGCATAACCAGCATAAATCGAAGAACAACATGCAGCGAACTGCTTGCCCGGCCGACTTCATCTTAGGATGGTCGTCGCAGAAATCGGAAAGCAGGGCGCGGGACTTTTGTGCAATGCCTATATAGCTAAGGAGCCCTGAGGCATACTAGAACAAAGTGTTGAGAAATCTATATTACAGCCTGGCACGCATGACTGACGGAAGCTACCCTACTCCTGACTCGCTGAAGGCTCCTGCATTTGGGTAACATGGAGGCCGTGCAAAAAACAGAACAAGGCTTGTGTTTTGCATTGGGGGGAGGTGTAATAGAATAATCGCATAGGCATAAGCAGGGCACTTTAACAGGACTAGTTTGATGTTCCGACCCCAGTACTTATATCGGGGGTACTCTGGCTAATACATAAGGGCCTTAATACTTAGAATGGGGTTTTGGGGCCCACTATGCCATAAATGTGTTCACGAACCCCCAAAAAATCAAATAGTATAGGAAATTATTATGGCCCCTATATTAATGACTCCAACCCTTCTGGCAGATCCTGCCTTTGCTTCGGAGCCCCATCGACTCTGGCGACCAGGGTAGCCTGCATCTCGGAATCAGAGATACAAGCATCGACTACTACTACTACTACTACTACTACTACTACTACTACTACTACTACTACATACTACTACTACTACTACTACTACTACTACTACTACTACTACTACTACTACGGTGCCCTAGAGTTTGGGGAACCCCTAAAAGAGGCCCAAACTTGGACAACCCCCGACATGGACCCTAAACCCCTGAACCCTAGACATGGACGCGCACTGCGGTTTGCAGGGGCCGAAGGTTGGGACAGACCCTTACATTTTCCAGCCTTGCTACCCCAAAATCCACAAATCCTAGATCTCAGGAGTTGAGGTTTAGGACTTAGGAGTTGGGGTTTAGGACTTAAGAGTTGGGGTGTAGGGTTTAGGCTTTAGGATTTGGGGTTTAGGATGCCCCCCAAAAAACCTAAGAGCAAAAACAACTAACCCTCAATGCAAGACACAACTTGCAGTAATCCTTGTAAACCTGACTACGTACCCCACTTATAACACAAACCCCAATGACCCTAAACCTTAATGCGGACTACGCTACACCTTGCACCCTTATCCTTAAACCCTCAAGTCTTAAACCCTAAAGTCTTAAACCTTTAACCCTAAGAAGCCCACTGCATGGCCTTCCGAGTTCGCCTCGCGGCGTGCTCGGCCCCAACGACCTTGTCGTTTAGGGCGGTTCACGACCCTCTACAAGATTCACAATAGGAACTGTGAGCCTGCTGGGTCCAATATTCCAGAACCCGGCAACTCAACAGTAGGCAACAAGCTCTCCCAGATGCTTTGCATGTTGGCACCCCGGATTCTGGGCTGGGAGTGATGGCCTAGCCGGCACGCCCAAAGAGAGAGAGAGAGAGACATACACCTTACTACCGCTTAGCTGCTGACTCCCGTGGCTTTCATGGATTCAAGGGTTTCGTGAGTCGGTGGGGTGATATCTCAACATCAACTACAAGCCTGAACAAAAAGGGAAGTTAGACCATGCCTGAACGGCCCCCTTTTACCATCAAACTGCTAGATGGCCATATTTATACATACCCCCGACCGGTGCTTAATTACTATCGGCAGATTCTGCGGTGCACGGTTCGAGTCGTGTGGAAGGCTTGGAGGATGGCTAGTACTAAGTATTCCTATGTAGTACTGACGGGCCTTAATAAAGGACAACAGGGCTTTAGGGTACAGTATACTATCCTAAACCCTAAACCCTAAACCCTAAACCGTAATAGTATAGGTAATTATCAAGGCCCCTGTATTTCGCTAAACAATGCCAGAGCTCCGCGGCTGGGAGCGCTGTCGCCCACCAACGCTGCTGCCGTGGCCATGCTCCGATAGGCGGTCGGTTGGGGTTGTGGGATTTAAAGATTTAGGGAGTTAGGGTTTTAGGGTTTCGGGTGGGGCTGGCAGTTTCGGTGCTGGAAATCGTGGTAGATGGCTTAAATGCTTTATGTGCTTCTCTTGCTGGCATTTGGGCATTCTGAAACGGGCTGTCAGGGTTGAGGAGTGCAGATATTCACGGCAGTCCCGGCATGTGCTTGAGTTTTCTCTTCCGGAACTCATGCCCCATGATAGATACTACTGTAAACCGTTACTGTTGAAGGTTCAGCGGTTCAGAATCAGAAGCTGGACAACCAATCCCTAAATCTTGCACCCCTGCTCAGTTCAACTCTAAAGAATAAAATTAGGACCGAATGAACTACCCAAGAAATTGAAACTGGCTTCGGGGTTCAGGATTGAGCGCTTCGCGATGTGCCGTGTGAAGTGGAATGAAGCTTGTGGCGGCGGCAGGTTGAAGAGCTCTGCGCCGTCAAGTCCTACCTACAGCCTACCTATAGTCTCCATTGTGGTTCCTTTTTTGTTCAGGATTTTTCAGGTAACCCAAAAAGCAACCACAATAGAGACTTTAGGTGAACCCAAAGTTGCCAGTGAGTCATGCGCTAAACCCTGACCCTAAACCGGCAAACATCACCAAGTCCAAAGGGTGGTTGTCAAAATTATGGTCCCTTTTGGGGTACCCTAAATGATAGGTGCCGTATTATAACAAGGACCCAAAAAGGGACCATATTTTTTGACAACCACCCATATCAACAAAACCATGGAATCTCGACCCAAAGCCATACCCGCAGAATTGCAGGGACTTTGAGCAAGCAGGGTCAGGCGCACAATGAGAGGGGATCAATATACGTAAGGCATTGCTGCAACCCGACATACCAACATGATGAGTCTCTCAATCCTGTTGAAAGCGTAAGACTTTATAATTCAAGGTTTAGGGTCTGGGGCTTCAGGGTTTCAGGTCTCGGGCGCTGACGGCCAATCAATCCAAAGGAAGTAGACCCCACGCCCTCGTGTCCAAATCCCCGGAGGGAGACACACTTAAAGGATCGTGGGACTTAGTAAGTAGGGAAACCCTAAACCCTAAAACCCTGCAAGTTCAGAGAACTTGTGTGATT